CTATGCGCTAGCACTCAGTTGAGTCATCGCCACGGCTGCATGGACGTCCATGTGTGGAGGGAGCACAGTGCAGCTGCTGGCTGACTCTGTTTTCAGCACTTTGCTGCCCGGCTACGAACAGCGTTACATGGATCTGCACCAATTTCCCGCCTCCCACCCCCGCCGGCCCGGATGGGAGTTTCTGGCCACTCTTGGTCTCGCTGGCCACTTTGGTGTGGCCGATCGGGGGGACGCGAGATGGTATTTCATTGTGGTTTTGTCTGTTTATTATGAAAACAATGCTCCTCCCTCCAACCAGGCCGCATCGTACCTCTTCCCCCCAACCACGCATGCTTCCGTGGCACCGCGAGTAACATCACAAGTGCCACTCACTTCTTGGAGGCCGTCATCTGTCCCTGATGTCCCACCTCCTCGGCTACATCGCCTTCCACCCTCTCCTTCCCTCACTCTGCTTCAGCTACCCTGGCCTCAGACACCCAAACCTACCCCAGGGCCTTTGCACTTGCTGCTCCCTGGCCTGCAAACACCTTAACCCTCTGTGTGACTCCCCTCCTTGCTTCCTTTGAGACTCTGCTCAATGCCACCTCCCCAGATGGCCGCTCTCAGCCACTAAAGCAAACAAGTCCCCTGCCCCAGGGTCCATCACTCTTCCTTGACTTCACTTTTCCCTAGAACACTTTATTTTTCTCCATGGGCTTTCTACATCCTCTATTCTATCGTATATTCACCTTTTGACTTTTATGGCGCCCTGCTACTTTCCTGAGGGCAGGAACATGTGTCCCAGTTTTGTCCCCTGCGTCCTCACTGCCTAGAATAGAGCTCAGCTTGCACTGTGCGTAAAGCAATAATTGTCGCACGAGCGAATTAAAAGGTCAGCAAGACGGGTGCTATAGTTATCTCGAACTGTAGCACGGCCCCTAAATATTCCATATTCAGTGCTCAAACTCACGTTAAGAATTAGGAAAAACAGGCCCACAGGTGTCATTTGGGGCTTGATCAACCCCAAGAACAGGCTTGATTCCCTCATGTCCCGTCTTACACAGGTGGCTGCAGGCCTGGCTTCCAGACGGGCGAAGGCCCTTCGCCCTGTGGCCTGGGGGTGGGCTTGTTGCTGGGGCTGGGGCTTCCGACCAGGGACGAGGGCCGGGGGAGGAGCCAGGGATGTGGCCCAGGTGAGGAGAACACAGAGGTGGCCCTGGAGAACACAGAGGTGGCCTCAGGACGTGGATGTGGACGGCCAGGAAGGCTTCTTGACCCAGGAAGGCTCTCCTATCCCCCTCAGCCATTCAGCCAGCTTGCCGCAAGCCAGAAATTTATGGCAACTTAAAAAAAAAAAACAAAG